TTTTTTTTTTTTTTTTTTTTTTTCCCTAATAGATGGGCCCCGTGGCTACAAATGAAACTGACAAGTAACAAAAGGTGTTAAATGTAGACAGAGCAGTAACCACAGAGCTAATCTTTCGGATAACCAGAATTCAATTTGCTCTCCCAGCAGAGAAGAAATGTGCAAATAACCCCAAACCAAAACATCTCTTTAAATTCATCCCCAGCCCACTAAAACCACCCATGACTCGACTTTCAAAACTCCCTTCCAAGACAATTAGAGGTCAAAGATACCTCATGCCCCCCCGGCCCCCCACCCCCTCCCCGCCCCGTCCCACCCCTTACTCACTACCCCAGCTGTACAAGAGATACCCTGAGGTCAGGGAGAAAACAAGCAGTGACAGAGTGGGGTGTGTCTGCTGGAGGGAAAAACCACCCCTGGGAAGACCGCAGGGGCATGGAAACAGATCTACATGTGCGGAATTGATTCCTGAACCCCCCACCAAGAGTCTGATCTTGGGAAAGTGGCCTTTGGGGGGGGGGGGGCAGGGACAGGATCTGCAGATCTCCACAACCACTCCGCGCCGGGGAGATTGGAAACTGATGAGCGAGTGAGAGAAATCAGCCAAGCATCTGCGTTAGAACCACGTCACACGCAAGCAAGGCTCTGGCGCACAGTAGGGGTTTTGTAGACGCGTGTGGGAAAAACTGAAAAGCGGCTCTCTCTATCTGCCCTCCCCCCAGCGCCAGCCCAGTATCTCCTGTGAATCTGAGGGAGGAAGTGAGAGCTATTTTGGGCTGCTGACCCAACTGATGGGCTTGGGGCCAACTGCCCATTCTCCCCCGTTCCCCTGACCTTGTTAAACAGTTGGCATCTGCTAGCTAGAGATTCCCACCTCATAACTAGGGCAGTGGGGGGGGGGGGGGGGGGGGGGGGGGGGGGGAGGTAGGCTTGCTTCAGGGCTCCCTGCCTGCCAGGGACAGCTCTGGACAGCACTGACATATGACCTCTGTGACTTCTGGGTGACCAGACGAGGGAGGGAGGGCTGACCAGGCACGTATGCCAGGGCCAGACGGAGCGGCCAGCACACCCTGCCAGCTAGGCCGCTCTGGGCCTATTGCTCCGCAGAATTTATGGGCTGTGAATTTCTCACAGCCGTGGGGGGAGCAGGCGAGCCAGATGGGCCAAGGAAGCCTAGGGAGAATAGGGAGAAGGTCAGGGGCAGGCAGATACTCTCTCCCCGGGGCTCCCTGAGCTGAGCACGGGGAGGCTCTCCCCAGTTTCTCTCCGCTTTGAGGAGTCGGGCATCTGATCTGTCCCGGAGAACCTAACCTTGACCCCGAGAGTCCCTAAACAGCTGCCTTTGCTCCCCACCTGCCTCCCACCCGCAGGCTCTGACCTCCGCGGCCCCAGTCGCTGACCGGACACGTCACATCCTTACCAGTCTTCAGAGAACACTCCTCTCCATCCGACGAAATGATAGAACCCTCTGAAGACTCATTTGAGACGATGATGGAGCGTAAGAATCCATCATCAAAACAAATGGAGTCCTCCGAGGGCTCACCCAACACCGCCGTGGAGGCATCAGGCAGCGGCCCCGCCCACGAGATGAAAGAGCTGCCCTTTGATCTCCGCCAAGACATGGAGGAGCCATCCAGTGGCCCGCGTAGGGAAATTAAGGATCCACCCAATGACCTACTCCAAGACCTGGAGGAGCCACACACCGGTTCACACCAGGAAGCGGGGGGTCCAACGAGCGAGGCACCTGGCGGGATGCAAGGGGCATCAGACAACCCCTGGGGAGCCCAAGACGACGAAGTCGACGACGCTGACCTGGCCGACGTGGGAAGCGAGGAGCTCCTGGAGGAGGATTCCGAGACTTCAGAGTTCATGGCCACGGTGAGATCCATCATCTCTCTGTACCTCCGCGTGCAAGACCTGAGAGAGCAACAGAGGGTGGCGGAAGAGATCTTGGTAAGAGGAATCCACGCCGGCCAGCTGCCCGTCCCGGCGTGCTTCTCGGGCGACCGCAGAGAATACCACGAGTTCATCGTGCTCTGTCAACTGATCCTACAAAGCTACCCCAGAATGTACTGCAACGACCGGCTGCGAGTGAGGTACGTCATCTACCACCTCTCGGGCATGGCCTTGGAGTGGGCCACGACGCTGATGCAGGAAGGCAGCCCCCTGATGGACGACTTCCCGGCCTTCCTAGAGGCCATGTCAAACGTGTTTGAGTACCGGCAGGCGCTGCGAGTGGCGGAAGACGCCATGTTCCACATCACGCAGGGGACTCGCAGCGCCAGGGAATACATCAGCGAGTTCCAGGGCCTGGTCCCCACCTTGGGCTGGCCCGACGAAGTCCTGCAAGCCCACCTGTGCCAGGGCCTCAACGAGGAGATCAGGCATTATCTGTTCCGGGTCCCCCAGCCAGACTCGCTGGACAGTCTGATCATGCTCATCCTGCAAATAGAAGAGAAGCTGGCGGAGAGGAGGGCGATGCTCAGGCTGCCCCCGGAGTCCCGCCCCCGGAACCTGACCTGGATCGACTCACCTGCCCCAGAGAGGTGGATGGTCAGCAGCTGGCTGTCCCGCGATTGCCGCCCCGTCATCAACCGCGACCACCTCTTCCTGCTGCTTCTCATCAGAGTGAACCCCTATCACAGCATCGCGGTGCAGACCCTGCTGGACTCGGGCGCGGGCGGCAACTATATGGACGAGAAGTTCGCCCAGGAGCACTACGTCGAGCTGTACGAGAAGCCCTACCCGCACATGGTCCAGGGCGTGGACGGCTCCCTGCTCGGCAACGAACCTGTGTGGCTCCGCACCGAGCCGCTGGTGTGCATCCATCAGAACCACCAGGAGTCCATCGAATTCGACGTCGTTCCGTCCCCCAACTTCCCCGTGATACTAGGCATCAACTGGCTCAGGACCCACGCCCCCGAAGTCGACTGGGTCAAAGGCCGCTGCACCTTCCACTCTCCCTACTGCCTGCAGAAGTGCTTCCGCCCGCCCCCACCATGCATCGCGCTAGAGAGACATGCCATCAGCCTGCTGCCCGGACTGCCGCCCCTGTACTCCGACCTGGCCGACGTGTTTAACCCGAAGGAAGCAGATGATGAGACTTCCGACCAGCCAAGCTCAGACGGATCCGATGATCTTTCTGAATCAGAGCCCTCTGAGCTTCAGCAGGCTGGAGACAGTGATCACAGCGAGACCTTCTACGAGTGTCCCTCCATCGCGCCGTGGGAACCTATAGGTGCCAGGGTGCAAGAAAATGCCAGGCCGCGGGATGAATTCTGGGACCCGCAGGACATGCTGACCAACAGACAGGACTACGTACAGATGATTCCGGAACTGTTCGACCAGTTACACGGAGCTACATGGTTCACAAAGCTCGAGCTGCGGGGGACCGTCGTGGAGGAAAGCACGAGCATACGCCAGGCAGAAGATGTATGGAGAGCAGCGTTCGGTTTCGAGCCTCAAGAGATGGAGAGCTACCAGCCCTTCCCGCTGTCCTCAGACCCCACCATCCCTCAGGACGTGGTCCACTTTATCCTAAAGGACATGCTAGGCTACTTCGTGCTGTCCTACGGGCAGGACGTCCTGATCTACTCTATGAGTCAGGAGGGGCACTTCCAACATGTCCGACAAGTCCTGGTCCGCTTTCGACACCACCGCGTCTACTGCTCCCTGGACAGAAGCCAGTTCCACCGACACACCGTCGAGTTCCTGGGATTCGTCATCACCCCCAAAGGGGTGAAGCTAAACAGGAGCATCGTGACCACCGTGACGGGGTACCCCACCCCTGGCTCTAAGAAGTCCCTGCAGCACCTGATCGAGTTCATCTTCCCTTACCGGCACTTCGTGGACCGTTTCACCATCATCGCAGAGCCGCTGGCGCGGCAGCTGCTGACCAGCGAGGCCTTCTGCTGGGGGGAGGAGGAGCAGGAAGCCTTCGACTGTCTGAAGCGGGCGTTCCGCAAGGCGCCCCTCCTGCACCACCCCAAGCCGCAGAACCCCTTCTACTTGGAAACGGGAGCCACCAAGACGGCCCTGCACGCCTCCCTGATCCAAATAGACGAGCAAACCGGCAACAGGGTCTCCTGCGCTTTCTACTCGCGAAACATCTCGGCCATCGAGGTCGACTACTCTCAACTGGAGATGAGGATCCTTCCAATAAGGGCTGCCTTCACGGTGTGGTGCCGCTACCTGGAGAACACCGAGGAGCCCATCATGATCCTTCTCAACACAGAGGATCTAGCCTCTCTGAATAATGACAGGCTCACCGTACTTCTCCCCGGGCATTGGGTCTTCTTCTTCTCCCACTTCAACTTCGACGTCATGGAGCGCCCCAAGCAAGACTCGGGCTGGCCCCTGCCACCCGCCAGAAACCTCAACCGCAGGGCTTTCCGGCGCAACGCTGCCGCCCGGGCGAGGTCGCTGTTCACGACCGGAGGGTCCCCCCGGGATCAGTCGCTGGACTCCGGGGAGGAAGAGGAAGACGCGCGCAGCCAGGACCAGCCTCGCGGGCGGAGCCGGCAGCAAGAGTTCCTGGCCCTGATACCCATCGACCAAATATTCAACAGCCTCCTCGCCCACTTCAGCGTGGCCCAGATCAGGGCCGTCGTTCTGCACTTCTTCCGTGGCCTCCTGTTCTGGAAGGACACCCTGGCCGTGGCGGCCCTCCTCGTGCTGCTGAAGCTGAAGCGGCGCCTCTCCCCGCGGCCCGCGGCCACCAAGGCGCTGGCCCGGCCCCCCCGGCGCTGGCTGCGCCTCGACCAGGCCCCGGCTCTGTTCGTGGACGGCCGCGTGGCCGCCGCCGCGGCCCAGCTCCTGGCCCAGGTGCCCCCTCCCGTGGGCAGGAGCGCCGTCCCCGCCGAGGAGCTGGGGGCGCTGCTCCGGGGCCCCGGCCGCCACCGCCGCCGCCCGCAGCAGGCCCTGCTCCCCCTGAGCCACCGCGGCCTGCAGTTCACACCCGGCTTCTGGCTGATGCTGTGCGAGTTCTTCGGCGTGAGAGCCGGCCCTCCCCGGGGCGCCCGACCCCTCCCGGGGGGGACCCGCCCCCTCGAGCTGCACGTCGCCGGCGGTGAGGATGTCGTCTTGCGAGAAGCCCTGCAAGACGACCTGCAACGTTACCGTCAGTGTGGCCTGCATGACGGCCTGCAAGACAGCCCGCAGGACGAGCAGGACAGCGACGTGCGCCAGGCGGCCCTGCAGCCCCGCCAAAGCCTCCCCGCGCCTGCCGAGGTCCTGGCCTTCCTGAGCCGACACCCGCCCCGCGCCCGCGGCAGCGGCGGCGCCCCCGTCGGCCAGGAGCAGGCGGCCGTGGCCCTGACCCGCTTTCTGACCGCCATCTATGCCCGGCTGCCACCCGCCGCCAGCCGGGCCCGCGAGGGAGCCAGGCTGGAGGAGCTGCCCGGGGACGAGGGCGACGCGAGCCCCGAGTGAAGCGCCTCGGCTCCTCTGCCCCCACTGCTGCCACTCCCACGGAGTCTCCTTCCGGCCTCCCCGTGCCTCCGCCCGCTTCGCTCAGACCCAGCGCCCCCCGCCTGCCGCTCCCAACGCAAGGGGAACCCGCTCGAGAAGGGCAAAACGTTCTTCAGCTCATCAACCAGCAACATCGTCTGTGCCACCACCAGCGGCCCGTCCAACCATCAGAGACCCAGAGCCAGCTCAGGGCTACGCAACCACAGTCCCGTCTTAACCGCCCAGCTCCCAGGCTTGCAGCTGGGGGGGCTGCCAATGAGGGAGAGAGCGGTGGTGAGCAGATGACCCCGTGACCCAAGGCACAGCAGGCGCAGCCAAGCAAGCAGATGCCGGGGACCCGCCCCCTGGAGTGACCAGTGGTCTCCGTGTGCCGCCCTGGGACACTGACCTCGGGTGCTCCACTGACTTCTTCTACCTCCACCTCCGGTGCTCCTGCTCCCCTGGGCCCCCGCCCCCCGCCCCCGCCCCCCACCCGCGCTCACACCTCGTGGAGCGCTGTGGCACCTCCCTCGCCCGCCCCACAGCAAAGCCAGCCCACCCCCCACCCTCCAGTTCAGCCCCCTTGACACTGACTCTGTCTGGCCCTGAGCTCTGCCCTTACCTGGACGGCGCCTCTCCACAGAGCGTCCGACGTACCAGTACTCACCGAACCTGCGTCCTCGAGAGGGACTCCAGGGACACCGAGGGGAGACCTCGCTTGGTGGGACTCCCTCTCCCCTCCCGGCACCCACAGTACAGGCGCCCGGACGTCCGCGACAGGGGAGGAGGCTCCGAGAGAGACGGAGGAAGGCCCCAACCACCCAGCGCACTGTGCTGAGCCAGCTGCTCCCAGACCACCGCTCTCTGCCACGGGGAGGAGACCCCCCCACCGTCCCACCCTCTCACCTTTCCCACCCCCAAAATAAAGCAAAATTAAAGATGATCTGACTGCGGTTTGTTCTGAAGGCAGATGGGGGAGGGCAGGTGGGGCAGGATGGAGGAGGGGGGCAGGTGGAGCGGGGAGTCTGGGCTGTCCCCCAGGGCAGGCCCCACCTCGTGCATGCAACACAAGCTGGGGTGGGGGAGCAGGGGGTCCCGGGAGCTGCCTCCCACCCCCGCGGGAAGGTCGGGTCTCATCTCTGCCTGGGCCTTCCTCCTATGTGAGACCTGACGCAGGCTGTTCTCTGCCCCTTAAGTCCAAAGGATTCCCCTGCACACCATTAGCGAAGGCCGAGGTCACACTGTCCTGGGAGTGGCAAAATGGCTGTGGGGGGGCGGGGGTTCCTTGCCCTGGGAAGGGGAGGGGCCCCAGGGGAGTGCAGGAGAAGGGAGGATGGCACTCATTCACTCACTCACTCATTCACTCATTCACTCATTCAGCCCGCAGTCCGGCACCCCCCTGCCTGGCCTCAGCCCCCCCACCCAGTAGCGGCCTCTGACCTCTGAGAACAGAGCTGCTCCCAGCCCCCACCCCGGGCACCTGGGGCATGGCAGGAGGACATGGACCACCTCCTGCCTGCGTGGCCTGGACCCTCACCCTCACCCCTCCCGCCAGCTGGGAATCACCCCTCCCTACCTCTGCCCCTGACGGCAGCACCACGAGATCACCAGGCAGATCTCAGGTTCAAAGGTCAGGGGCTCTGCAGGAGCTGACACCCCATCTCCCTTACTGGCGCTGCCCTCCTCACCCCAGCCTAAGGAAAACCACCTCCCTCACTGACCCCCGGCTCTCCCGAGGCACACCAGCCTCCCGCTCGGTGCCCTCACCGGTCCCCAGGGGTGACCGGCCATCGCCCCGCCATCCATCTGTCCAAGGCATGTACCCCCGATAGCAGCACCGAGAGACCATGGTCAGGACCCCCCGGTGCAAAGCCAGGGGCTCAGCACCACCCCCACCACTGGCTGGCTGCACACCGTTCCCCCTGCCTCAGTTTCCTCATCTGTCTCTGGACCCTGCAGGGCTACTATGAGGATTCAAAGCCCACAGAGGAAGTGCTCAGCACCACCTCACGCAAGGCTCCTGTCCTCCCCCACCGCCCCTGTGCGGGGTCCCAGGTGGCTAGCGTCGTGGCCTCTCTGGGAGCCACGTCTGTCTGTCCACCTGCCCACCTGGCACCTGCCCCCAACAGTGGCCCCAAGAGGCCATGAGGGACCTATGGGTCAAGATCAAACGCTCAGCTGCAAGCCCCCAGTGTCTCCGAGGGTGGCCCTGACCCTGACTTGCTGGGCAGCCCTGGCCAATGGCTGCCCCCAGCCTCCAGGCCTATTTCCTGTCATTAAACGGTGGTCGTGAGAGCAGAGGGGACTTTCAGGGGCAACGAGACATAATGTCCAAATGCCCTTGGTTCCTAAAATCCCCTCGGTTCTCACATGGCACTGCTGGCGGCCCTCGAATTCCTTGGTGGTGATGACTCGCCCTGGGGTGGACCTGGGGCCACAATGGGGATGTCACTCCCACCACTGGCCCCTAGCTCTGGCCGACCCTGGGGGTCCCAGAGGCTGGACCTGCAGGCAAAGCTGTACGCCTGCTCAGAAGGGGCTCAGAAGGGGCTGCCTAGGTGACCAGGGATGGGCAGGTGACCCTTCGTGTGCCTGAAGCCCAGGTCCTGCCCTTCAGACGCTGACTGAAGGCACACACACTTGCAATCACACACACACACACACACACACACACACACACGCCCTAACGGGGCTGCTGGCACAGTCGCGGCCTCTGCCTTCCATGCCAGCAGGTGTCCCGGCCGCCCCGTGGCCCCTGCCACAATCCAGCCAGGGGCCTTCACGCCCATTTACAGAGAAGAGAGGCCGCCCCCACGCCCAGGAGAGCTACTGACAAGACAAAACCACTGGGTGACATGTCCCCCGCTCCCTCTTGGAAAGAGTTTAAGAAAACAAAACAAAACAGAATACAAACCATTTTCCTCCTGGGGAAACAAAAAAAAAAAAAAGAGAGAGAAAGAGAAAAAGAAAGAAAGTTAGTGTGAAGTGACATGCTGGGTGGGTCGTGACATCATGGACACCACAAAAAAGGTGCACGTGGTCACTCTGGACAGCGGGTCCCCAGCACCCAGGCACATGGGCTGCAGCAGGTCAGGCCTGAGTGAAGACCTCCCACCTCCCACCAGTACTGGCATCCAGTGAGCTCTAACGGGGACCAGGGGGACCCCCACGTTCCACCCCAGGTAAGGCCATCAACCTCCCTTGTCATGTCCCTTCCCCTCCAGTCCCACCCCTCCCCCCACCCCAGGGTTCTGGCCTTCAGGCCTGGGTCAGGCCAAGCCTGTCTCTCAAACACAGGACAGCACACGCAGGCGGCTGCTCACCGCTCGGGTGCGGACAGCCCCACCCCTGCTGCAAGCAGCTGCGGGCGCAGTCAGGGGCCCCCACGCAAGGGGCTGTGACAGGAGTTCAGCCCCCAGAAGCGTGAGGTCCCCTCGTCGCCTACGGGGACAGCCCCGGACCTGCTCCCAGAGTGAGAGTGGGAAGGCACCACAGCCCTGACCTTCGTTCCCCCCAGGAGACCACCACCACGAGGGGGCCTTGGGCCCAGACAGTGACCCGCATCCTGACCCCCCCGTCCAGGGTCTTCCAGAACAAACACACGATGTGCTTTTGAAACACCTTCAATCCAGGATTCCGCAGGCACCCAGGCAGCCGAAAGCCTTCCAGGCTTCGGCGGAAGGCCAGTCTGGCTCGGCCCAAAGGCACCAGATGGTGGCCCTAGAAAAGAGAGGCCGAATGAGCAGGCCGACCTCAGGCTGCGGGCCCATTTGCTCGGTGTGGTCGGGAGCAGGGAAGAGAAGTACTGTGCGCCGACCACTTCCAAAGGAGCGTTTCTCAAAGTGAGGCCTCGGCCAACACCCTGTGTCGGACCCACAGATTCAGGGCCCTGGCTCCGGCCTTCAGACCCCGGAAAGCCGACGCCCAGGGGCTGGAGACCCACCCACCCGCCACGCGTCAAGTACTGCCCGCTTCGCTCGGTGTCCCTGAGGGGCGTAAAGGCCTCTCCTTGGCCAGCACCGAAGCCTTTCAGGATAGGACTTCAACCTTCTACGTCCCGTGTCTCGCTCCAACAGCCACCAAAGGCACATACAACACACTCCACACCTGATGTGGCCCCGTGCGTCAGGAAGGCCTTCCTGAACTCAGCAAGGCCTCCTGATGCCACGGAAGACTGGGAGAAGGGGTGAGAAGGAAGGAGGCAGGGGAGGGGAAGGGAGGGGAGAGGAGCTGGGGGGGAGGGCGGGGAGAGCCATGGCCTTTCCTGACCCGCTGTAACAGCTTCCTGCTGTGGACAAAGCACCCCTGCCTTGCCCCCCCCCCCCCCCACGGGCACCGGGGCTGGCTGCCACCCTGGGCAGTGGGCTAATGACTCCAGCCGCACAGGGGCCTGGCAGGAGTCACCTTCTGTCGTGTGCGGAAGCCAAGTTAGTAGAGGATGCGAAAGACAACAGCCGTGACAAGGGGACACTGGTCTCGTGCCCTGGGGCCCCCCCTTAGACAAGGAAAGAGTGGGGCACCTAGTGATAGCTGCCAGGTGGGCGAGGCAGGGCGAGCGTGAGGGATCCTTGGGAAGCTGGGGTGCGCCCGAGGGTTAAGGAGAGAGGAAGCAGCCACCTGGCACTGGGTAGAGGCTAAGAGCCCTCGAGGGGACCCTCCTCTGTAGCAGTAGGACCCCCCCCACCCCCCAGTGCAGGGGACGGAGGCCACAGGTGTCCGCAGTCGGCCCTTCCGTACGGGGGGCTGTGTCCCCACAGGTGCCCGGCCACAGGCCCGTCGATGGGAAAGGCCCCAGAGCTGGTCCTGCCCACCTCTGGTCAGTCTGCTTGAAGTCAGAAGGTGGCCCGGGCCCAGCCCTGGAGCTATCCCACTGGCACCACAGCCTTCTCCTCCGAGTGGGGGCCCCTACCCTCCAGGAACCTGGGGACCCGCAAAGGAGAGAGAGCGGGAGAAGAGCATGCCGGGAGGAGGCCGGGGGAGCAGCGGCAAGCCGGGGGAGGGGCAGCGCTGTGCGGCTGCGGGTGCAGAGGAGGGCCCGGGGGCTGCGCGCGGTTGAAGGGGATGAGGAAAGGCACCATATAGGAGCTGGATAACTGTGCATCAACTCCTGTATGAAGCCGTTCTCACCCCCCACCTACTGACTACGGCCGCAACCCTCCTCCGGGAAGCGCGGTGCCAACCCCCCGGAGGGTGAGCGGGGGGCGCCTGCTGCTGCTGTTAGTGCTCAGAGCGGGGACTGCAAGGGACAGCCGGCCCCGGGCAGCGCCACCCACTGCTGGGGACCTGCCAGGTCACGGAGGCTGGGGACACGGGAGGGGCGGGGGGTCTGATCCCACCCTTCTGCAACTTCCAACTCTGGGGCACCTGCCGCGCTTTCTGCGTCTGCGGAACGGGCTCCTGGGCGCCCTGGGAAGTTGGTGAGGAGTCACCGAGCCTGGCAGGGCTTGGTCTCCCTGAGACAGAAAGTGGCTGTTGCTTGGGATTGGGGGAGGGGGAGGGGGAGGGGGGAGGGGGAGGGGGTGGGGTCGTAACTAACGGCTCTAGGGTTTCTTGCAGCGGTGAGGACAACCTTCCAAACTCTAGCGTGTTGAACGTGCACATATGCGTGAATACACGGAACACCAGCGCCCGTACGCTTTAGAAGGTGGACGGCAGATACGTAAATACCTCAATAAAGTTTTTTTTACAGCAAGAGCTTCCCTTGTTCCTGCACGTTTCCCTTGACCCCGTGTCCACCCACCTTCTCCCTGCCGCAGACCTCGCCATAAATTCACCAGCCACTGGCACAGTGAACACACATTCCCACAGACATGGAGCTCGGCACGTAGTAAGGGGTCAAGAATATCACTGCTGTGGAGAGAATGACGTAATGAAGTAAATGTCCCTAAAGGGCACACGGAGGAAAGGCTCCAGGGTGTGGAGTTCCGGCCCTGGGGAGAAGGG